AGATGCAAAGGATAATCTAGGAATTAGCTAACCGTCCATATGTAAAGTAATTTTTTTCTGTCTATAAGTCAACTTTGCTGCCTTATTTAGGGATTAAGGATGAGAATAATTTATTAGACTCTGTTAAACTGGTTAAACTGACTATATTATTCTTAGCTTGCTCTTTTGTAACTTAAGTCTATTGGGAAACCAAGGCCCTAATACACGGCATCACAGGAAATTATTTAGCAGAAATATTATCATATAGTTACTTCTAACCGACAGTTGCTTATTCATTTGCATTCACCATTTTTCAAGCATCAATAACTAATCGAAAGTAAAAAACCAAGATGATGTACCTTGGATATGATCGCGGTCTTCTTTCATTGTACAGTAGTTGTTTGACCTGGTTTTCGCAACTTGATCATAACAACAAAAAAACAAGAGGATACATCAGCAGGGACCCTAATGAAGACAAGGAGAACCACACGAATTGTGTGTTGGTACACAAGAGACTAGAGCAAACGAAGTAATAGATCTGGCAGTATGGATAGAAGCATAATAGGTGTGGTAGAGACTCGAGCCAGTTGTCTAACAGTAGACCGGGTGCGTAAAGTAAAGGCCTAACCATGAGAATTGTCCGGTGTACATGCCAAATGGTTGTAAAGGGATGCATAGCCTCAAGTTGGTTTCCCATTCAGCTTAAGAATCCACAATTTGTGAGCCTACTCAACGAGGCGGAAGTATACGTGCCATCGAAGGCTTGGAACAGAGTGTGGGAGATAACACCTCGAGTAGCGCAGATAGGGTTGCAGAGGTCAAGTGGAGTACCTGAACTAGGGAGATAGGAGACGGATCCTATGGAGCAAGAGGGAGACTCTGATAGGACTTATGACAAGAGAATTGCGGACGAATATGGTAGACTGAGATCAACATTTCCGGCACCAGGGTAGGGAGGAAAGTGATAAAGCCAGCGTGGGGTGTAGAGGTGTTTCATGAAATCTGCTCAAAAGTTCATATTATACCATATTTACTTAAACATGTAAGTTATTGTGCTAGTAAGGCATGAGAGAAAATAACTTTTTTGCAGACAATTGGTCAAATTGTCACATTTATTCGTCTTTTTAACGAGTTGTGGAGTAATGCCGAGAATGGCGAGGCTCACTGACGATGCCGGCTAAGCGTTTTAATGTAGCAGGTCCAAGGTCCGACTCTGGAAATTATCATAAATATGAGATGTATTCATCCAATTTCGTTTAAGGTGAAGAACGACTGGTAAAAGAATTTTTCCACACTGATATAAGTAGAGCTGACGTTTCCATTGAATTTCACATAGCCTTGCTTTCCCAAAAGTTGTTCTCGTCCAGTGTGGACTGAAATTTCGACCCCCAACGTGAGTCGAACCTTGACAGTGCAGTATGTGAGCTTGACACATTAACCACTCGGACGCATTGCCACGAGGGCCTTGGGTCACAGGGCAGATGTGAATGGTAAGGCCTTTTCCCATATCACATTCTTCGATGGAACTGTCAATAAAGCAAACGTATTTTTGCTACAACAATCGGCTACAGTACTTTTTTTCGTATATAAGTAGAGTTTCGGGACTACCCTACAGCTATGGACTCTGGACAAGCTGCGTTCCTTTAGGCATTCCTACTGATATTATCAAGTTGCGAAAACAGCGTCGAACAACTACTACGAATAAATTGGTTTCACCTTGAAAATGTAGCGCATTCCTGTAGGAAAATCTTTTTGCCATCAGGCTTCTGCTTGTCCTATAGCACTATACGGCTTTGGGATTATCATGTTTGCCTCCTTAAATGGTAATTATTTTGAAGATATGAAGACCAAGATGTTGTGGCCTCTGGTATAGTCGCAGTCTCCTTTCGATTTGTAGAAGTGGGTTGACCTCGTTGTCTCAACTTGGTCTTGTTGTCTGGGCCATAGTAGTTGTCATGATTCCCAGCATCAGACAGTGAACTTGGTACATTCTAAAATGTTTAGTAATGTCTGTTTCGAATAATCCAGTACAACTTTGGGGGCCTTGCGGTCCAGGAGCTGGGCAGACGGATAAGCGTAGGCAGTCTTTTTGCTTCATATCGCTCTAATCAACTTGCAACAGTATAATAGTAAAAATTACAAATTGTTATTAGATTGAGTGCATTATTTAGTCTTATCAGACCAATTCTTAATCCAAACATTTAGATTGTCTCTGCCGTCTCAGTCAACTTATGACAGGTTTTTAATAAATTGCTTAATGACACAGAACATTTTAAAGATATAAATATTTTCTCAATTTCTATTCGTTCCTCAGGTAAGAAAGTGAAAAATTGTGATATGTTTTCGAGATTTAGCATTAAAAGCCTACTAGTTACATAATTTACCCTTTCTATGTGGAGGACATAAATGTAAATGTAAATATACTTCGAAAGCATTCTTTTAACTATTTGCAATTTTGAACTTTAAGTTGTGCCTTTTTCATCTTCTAAATTCTTTTATTTCCTTTTCACGCTAGACATCACAATTAGTTTCATGAACATTTTCTTTATCAATTATGCTTTAATTCTGATAAATAATTTTGTCCTTTTCAAAATAACTTAATTAACAGCCGGCTTTAGACAGTGTAGTATGCATCAAATAAATAAAATTAAAAAAACATAAAAAATGATCATTAAGGTTGTTATGATATGCTAATCACCGTATCGTCCTCCTTTCGAACTGCATTGAAAATTGCCCAGACCATCTCTGGCCCAGCGCTGGCTACTTGCTCTTTGATCATGAAAAGTCTTGTGATCGGATTTTTGATTCCTTCGCTCAAACAGGAGTTGCCGCCTACGCGACTTCCGGTCTGCATGGCTGGCTTCACCAAAAAAGCAGGCTGGATCAAGTCTAGTTTGATTGCGAAGCTTCAGTATTTTGTTGGTCACAATAACTAATGTTCTCCTTGCCTGCTTTTATGCTGAGGCGGTCATTCCAACCGTGCAGATGTAGGTCGGTGAACATGCACTCTTCTTCAACTCCAAAGTTTTCTCAGCTCCTTATACAACATAATCTCCAGGATGCCCCCTAAATGCAGGCACAATTACGTTATTTTTGTGAACATGATGAATACCAAAATATCCGTGTACTGTCTAATTCACGCCTACTAGCATTGCTACTCACTGTCCTCGCCTATTCATTGAATGTCTTGTCACCGTAATGAGTCTTTGCGGTTGGTCATGTGTAGCATTTGCCAAGGAGGAATGATTGGTCCATAACTGCAATGAGAACAGGGGGAGAGAGAGACAGGGTGAATGCGTATGTGTGTATGGGTGTGCAAGGTATGTCAGGAGCTGAGATAGAAGAAAAAAACGTTAGCGTGATAGATGGCTGGTAAATGGGGAAGAGCATATATGAATGGATGACTAGAAGAATCAGTCCTATACCTGCATTCTACCTCATAGAATGTATATGCACAAGGGCCGACAAAAAGAACACGACCAAGACTGTAAGAAAGGGGAAGCTTTGAATCCATGCAGAGGGAAGGGAATGAGTGAATAGAAAACTATAAAGCTATGACGAAAATTAATTAAGTTCATCTCTAAGGCATGATAAGGATTTCTCTTAACCCATAAAAAATTTCAAGGGGTTCCGTGAGGCTAATAGCCCAGTACTGTTGTGCGCGAAAATAGCTTGATCTGCTGGATAATAAAAGATTTTTTATTCGGAAAAGTGGCACAGGAACTGTCTACAAATCAATAATAAGTTAGAGAAATTCTTTTATGTGATTTTCTCAGAAATCTGATTGTGTGGATGGCAAATGGCACAAATAATTGCAGATAAACCATTGAAGTAATTATCATTGTCACATAATTATTATAACTTGAAGTCTCATACGTCATTATAGCGAAATTTGACAATCCGGTTGTAAGTCAATACTTTTTATACCCATCTATCTTCGTGTGGCTCGAGCAGTCTGTCTTTCTCTCGATAAAGTACTATGAGCCAATGTCGCCCAGTAACCTAAAGCCCAGTTGAGCTTCATTTATTCATGTATTAAACGAATACTTTCTCATAGAATATGTCGTCAAGATAAAATTAAATAATTAATTTGCGAATATCTGCCTAACCATGGCTATTTTATTTAATGCCGATTTATGTTCAGTTACTTTTTTGACAACATCTTGGACAGAATCCAGGAGCCATGGTTAGTTGATTAGTTCAAGCCTAGTTACTATAGCCGTAAGGCAAGATACTGTCTGCCAAGGGAGGACACATGATTTGAAAAAAATTGCAGGTCTCTAAACAATAAAATTACTCTGGCTAAGTTATGAGCTTAGCGCTGCGTTTGGGGAGGTTTTTTATGTCTTTAAAATGAGCACAGGAAATCCAAATGACAGTGTTTAATGGAGTATATTTGATAAGTTTAGAATCTTCTTCAGCATCGTGATCTGGTATTCGGACGCAACAGAAGACGCAATTACAGATCTCAAAAAACAACGACCCTAAACTACCTAAACTTCAAAGGAAAAAGGAAGGGATATTCATTTTCGGACAAAGTAGCTCATATCAGAGCTTTTTTCGGTTCCTTGTGTTTTGATAAAAGATAAGTTTGGTGAATAAACAGTAGAACATGAGACAAATTAATCATTAAAGATATCAGTGACATCATGTTTAGATTCATGCGAAATGTGAAATTAATTTAAACTGTTCCTCTTATGATTCCAGCAAGAAAACGTGAGTCCTTATATATTCAAGGGAATATGGATCTTGCTTGAATAAATAGCTTGTCGAACCTGAGGACATCTATTGAAGAATTAGGCATTCTAGAAACTCAATTTGTATTAACCAATTATGTAATGTAAAAATATATTCTAAATATTAAAAAAAATACTCTACCAGATTACTATGAATAAACCTAAGAGTTCAATCACGGAAAGTGCTTCGCATTTTTATATGTTGATCAAACAAAGAAATGTAG